TTTTCATGTTATAATTAAAAAGCCAAACCAATTGCCATGGAGTCAATTCTGACCCATGGCAATCCGTGTGTGACAGAGTAGAACCGTACTCCATAGGGAACCTGCTCCATAGGTTTGTAGTGGGTGATTTTCTAGAAGTAGATTGCCAGGTCTTCCTTCCAAGGCTACTCTGGGTGGACTTGAACTTCCAACTTGTAGGTTGGCAGCTAAATGCACCACCCAGGGGCTCTGTTATTATTAATAAAGCTTTTCTTGGCTTTTGGCTCCCTGGAAACAAACAAACCAAAAAAAAATTTTAAACACCTTGAAAACCAAAACCATACAACAAAACAAAAAGCAAACCCCTATGGGGTGGGAGCCAAAATTAAACCATCCCCCTGTCATTTCCACAGAAGCAATCTGATATCAGAAGGGACAGAGAGACCAACCCTGAGTGTGAGCAATGCTGGAGTTGTTAGGTGCTGTCGAGCAGGTTCCAACTCATAGCAACCTTATACACAGCAAAACAAAACACTGGCCAGTCCTGACCCAACCTCACAATCATTGTTACGCTTGAGCCCATTGCTGTTGTCACTGTACCAATCCTTCATGTTGAGGGTCTTCCTCTTTTGCGCTGACGCTCCACTTTGCCAAGCATGATGTTCTTCTGTGGAACCATGTAAAACAACCCTTCTCATCAAGGCAGCTACAAGAGCAAGGCTGGGGTAGGGTGTGGGGAGGTGGCTTCAGGGCACTCAATGGAAAGACCATGGGTATGAAAGCTCAGGGAAGCAGTGGTGTGCATGGGGAAATGTCAGCAGGGCTCCAGCACCAGACTTTAGCAAACAGGTTTTGTTCTGTCCCTTGGCTTGGAATTTGTTCTGGGACCAACCAAATAAGGCATTGAGGAGTTTACAAGTCTCCCACCATCTGGGTGCTATACCCAGATCTCCATCTCTCTTTCAACTTGCCACCCCACTACCAAGACTCCAGACAAAATATATTTTCCTCAACACTTAGGTTTTAACATAGAAAACCGCTTAGACTAGAAATATGTCTTTTCCACAATTGACTGTTAACTTTTCATAAGCAACTCAGGTATGAACCCTTTATGACTCTGTTATAAGACAGGACAAATCAGCTAGCTGGTGTTTTATTTTTATTATTGAGACTTCTGCAGAGTCATAGGAATGGAGCTGTTTTAAGCAGAGCAGTATTTCAGAGTAAACTTGTCGGGTTCCAGGAGCCTCGCCAGTATTTCACTCCACTGGGAGCACTGTCAAGAATTATTTTCCTGATACTGAAAATAAAGTATGTATCTGCTACTCACTAGCCCATCTCTGCCCTACCCCAAGCCTCAAGTTGGACCCACACCCTTTCACTGCGTAATTGCCCAGACAGCATCTTTGAAGAACCTCATGGTGGGTGTGTCTGGGCCCTTCTGGAGTGAAACAAGGTGGTCAGTGTTTCCAGGAAGGAGCATGTGGGGCCCAAGGAGCTGCCCTGCAACAACCTTTGTGCCACTCTGCCTATTGGCCTTCCACCCCTCCTGCCATCAGATTGCTTCTGTGCAAAAGACCCTTAGACAGGGCCAGGGAGATGGCTTGGTTCATGGGGCCAGAAGAAGTTTTGTATCTTATGATGATGATGATAATAATTACATATCTCTCAGGCATGTCACACTCCCCACTTTCCAAAATGTATCCACATGCATTCTCCCAACACCTCTATGAGGAAGCATGGCACTCCTTACAAGTGGAAAAACCAGTGCTGGAACAATTAGGTCAAGTGGCAGAACTCAAGTTAAAACCAGCCTGTCTCATTCGCATGGGCTAAATGTGATAGAGGTAAATAGTGATGCATGCTCAACCTTGGAACAATAGGGCTCTGTGATACAAGGATCAAAGCATAGTTTGAAGAGTATGTATACTGGTTTCCCTTGCCTACTATTGTAAAATGGAAGCTTGAGTTGGGTAGAAAGGAATGTCAGGAAACATGATTATAGAAAGTTTGTAAGCCTGTCTTCAGCCTATAACTGATTGGAATACCTAAAAGGGGTTCTAAAACTTGCCCAGTGAAATAGGCCTCTTGTGGAGCCTTTGCAGTGTATAGGACCTTAAGTGGAGTCCTGAGTCCCATCCAGAACCTTCTGAGGTGGGACATTCCCACTAGAAAGGACAAGCAGACCAGCCTGCAATAACTAGAGCAACAGAAGATACATCTTCAGAGAAAGATCATCAGGAAAACCCCAAAACAAAAATGGCAGTATGACTGGCTACTATAAGAATAAGCAAGTTGTTTTCTGGGAATCCATCAAGGCAAGCAATCCAGTCCCTTCAGGACAAACCTCCCTCTAGACTGAAACTCAACAAGTAACACATAAGCAGGCATGTAAGTTTTCTAGGCCCATATTGGTCTACTGGTGAATGGAAGAGGGGGAAAGGCAGCAATGAAGAAATGGGCTGAGTTCAACTATGTTCCACAGACTCCCATTGACCTGGAGATGAGAGAGAAAAGAGGAAAGGCTGGTTGGTCCAAAGTGTGGTGAGACCTGAGGACACCTAAGCCCATGGACAAGGACATAGCCACAGAGGGCTATGTTGTTATTGTTGTTAAGTGCCTTCGAGTCGATTCCAACCCATAGTGACCCTGTATAGAGTTTTCAAGGAGCAGCTGATTAGCTTGAACCACCAACCTAGCTGAGAGTAAAGCATCCAGCTGATATATGAAGTGAGATGAGTCACACAAGAACACCCAAACCTAGCCTCAATGGCTTGATAATCAGAACTCTACTAGAGGAAGATTACAAAAAATAAAAGAACAAAATTTTTGATAAAGGAAATGAGGGTAAATTGCTACAATTTGATGAACTTGACCTATATTCATGGAAATAGTAACCTAAATACCAACAGAGAGGGAAGGAGTCTTTATATCAAGTATTGATGCTATTCCCTCTGTACACAGGTTAGATAGGGATGGGCAACTTAGACATTGGCTACCTAAAATGAGGGGACAATAAAGGCACAAAGTGACTAGCTTACAAAGTTTCAAGGGAGAGTTTAGTTTAATAGTGTACGGGGGAAGAAAGAGTCCCCATTGAATAATTTTCTATTCTAGATGGGTCTGGTTAAAAGAGATGGGAATAATATCCTTATCATTCATTAGTGAGTAATTATTATCATGACTAATTGCGACTGTCACATTTGTAAAGGTAGAAGTTTTGTAACAAAAATGGGGGAGTAGTTAATCTTACAGTCCAGAAACAGAGGACCCTGGGACCATTGGGGAGAAGAGCACAAGCAGAATGTGAGACCTTATCCAGAGAAGCAGCAACGGCAGAGATGGGAACATGGAGAGAAGGAACAGCTGTGAGGACTCTAGATTCATGAGAAGAGAGGGACTAAGAGCTGGTGGCCAGGGGGCAGACTTGCAGAACGTGCCCTTTGGTGGTTTAAATTATTATATATGCCTGAGTGGTTTTTTGTTTTGTTTTGTTTTTAAAAGAGCTAAAGTGAATAGAGAGAAATATTGTTAACTGATGGTACATGGGGGGGATTATAATCATTGTAATGAAACAAGGTGTATGATTTGTTGAATGTAAAACTGACGATCTGCCCTGTAAACTTTCATTCAATCCATAATAAAAAAACTTTAAAGAAAAAACAAACCTGTCTCTCCTCTCAGACTGCACTGCCCCAGACCTGTTTCCCCCCAGTGAATGAGGACCATCTCCACCCTGTCTGCTCTGAGCACCATGTTTTCAGAAGTGTTTGGTAGCTAAGGCCAAGCCTGGTGAGAGATCTCCAGGAAACACTGGAAAATTCCATTCCATAGTATGTCTGCAGTCAGTGCCTGCAAGCCACCAGCATTGTACATGTTCTGCAAAACAGAACACCATGGACAGACAAGGCCCTGGGGAGTGCTTGTGGCAAGTGCTCATCAAGGAACATCAACACCGCCAAAGCGCCCCTGCCGCTCTGTCCCTCCCCTGTGCAATGGCCCAACAAGATAGATCCTGCCTTGTATAACTGCAGAAACCATGGTGACCAGTCTTGTAGGGCCATTCCTCATGGAACCCTTGGGTATCAGCACCTCCTGGTTCTGTTTTATGTTTCTACCCCTGTTCCTTGTTTGCCCCATCATCCTCATAGTTCTGTTTCCCTTTTCTTGGAGCCCTAGTGGTGCTGTGGGTGAGGTGCTGGAATGCTAACTCCAAAGTCAGTGGTTCCAATCTACCACTGTTCTTTGAGAGAAAGATGAGGCTTTCTGTTCCCAGAAAGATTTGCAGTTTCAGAAATTCTATATAGGGTAGCTATGAGTCAACTTTGATGGCAGTGGATTTGGCTTGTGTGGGGTTTGGACTATTAGATCTCTGCAAGATGCCTTAAATCATTTGGAATCAGCATGCTATTACCTGTAGGCCAAGTTCCACCCCCCACCCCCATGTTTTTTTAATGTCATTAGTGCCATGTCATTCCCTTACAAATGTGTGATGGCTGTCTGTCTACACTATAGTGGCAAGAGTTGAGTAGTTGACAGAAAGCTTATGGCCCAAAAAATATTTATCTGACCCTAAGAAAAAGTTTGCCAACCCCTAAGGTAAACAAGGTCTGCCCACCAGAAACAGAGCTGTTCACCAAGTAGACAAGGTCCCGAGCATTTAAGCAGGCAGCAAGAGGAAAAGAAGAGGACACGGTGAATTTCATTGAACTGGAGAAGGGAGTATATGTGGAATGGGGGGAGGGGGGTAGGAGGGAGCGGTGTTCAAGCAGGGCTTCATGGAGGAAGTGTCATATGAACAAAATTTTAAATGGATGTGGAAGAAGGATGGTATACCAACAAATAGAGGCCCATACCACCTTGAAGGCAGCTCTGGCTAGATCAAGGGGGTCAGTGAAAAGGAAGCCCGCACAGCTACAAGATTTCTGCCTTGCTGGCAAACCACTGGGCGTAGGCTGTCCTTCCAGCCTACTCAGTTGTGTTCTCTGAACCAGCCTCATTGTGTTCTTTGCCCCGTGCAGGACTTCGGAGAGGATGACTCCCTGTACATCACCAAGGTGACCACCATCCACATGGGCAATTACACATGCCATGCCTCTGGCCACGAGGAACTTTTCCAGACCCACGTCCTGCAGGTGAATGGTTAGTAAATGGCTCTATGCATGTTGTTCCCTGAAAAATGTTCCCAAAATGCTACCCAGAACAATCCTTGCCCCCTCCTGTATTATCTTCAGAGGAAAACATCTAGACCCAAAATATCTCATTTCTTTCATACATAAAGAGAAATGGTGGGCTAAGGACAATATCTGACAAATTTGACTTCCCCCAGAGTCACCTCTGATGAAGTTAATTCAAGTGCTAATGAGGGTGGTCCCTTAGGTGCATCATGCTGGGCAGCCAAGGCCCCAGCAAGCCACTGTAGCATGTGGCTTGGGGTCTGATAAATGTGAGAAGCAGAAAGTGTGTTTTTAAAATCATTCTCTTTTGCAAACAGTATGGAACTGTATCACTTGCTCAATCTGGGGACATTTTTTCCTACAACAAGAGCTTATTTCCATCTCTTTTCCAAAGCTCAGTGAACCTAGGCTGACCCAGAACCAAGTTGGGAGGACGGGGTGGCTTTCCTTGGTTCTCACTAGCCCCTGAATTGCCATGACTCCTACACGTGGAAAACCTCACCTCCTCCAGATTATAATGTCATTCATTACAACAGCCAATCCCTGTGCTGGGCTCTTCACATGAACTATCCCATTCAGTAGATGAGTTTCTAGATGAGGTCATTTGGCTGAGATCATACAACCGGTAAATGAGCTAACAAAATCTGTCTGGACTACACTGCTAGAGGCTTCCACCTTATCACCACAACCTTCAAAACAAGCAGGCCAAAGACTAAGCCCACATAGTAAATTGGCCCCCGGCCCACCCCCCCCACCCTACCCCCCAGTGAAATTATACTCATCTAACCAAGCTCTGGTAGCATAGTGGTTACAAGTCAGGTTGCTAACCTCAAGGTCAGCAGTTCAAAACTCCCAGCTGTTCAACAGGAGAAAGATGATGTTTTCTACTCCCATAAAGATTTACAGCCTCAGAAATCCTATACAGGGTCGCTATGAGTTGGAACTGACTCCACGGCACACAATCAACAACAACAACCACCAAGCCTAGCCTTGGGTGCATTCCCTTCACAGAGCAGGCCTGAGCAGGATATTCATGTACCAGGGAAGACTGTGGCCATTCCAAATCAACCCCAAGATTCCTGTGCTAGCTGGTGGTCAGAGCTTTGGTTTAGAGAAGAAAGTGAGCAAGGTGTAGAAAATGGCCACATCATGATATTCAGCTTTGCTTACCTCCGGGATGCAGGGTAACAAGCCATTAAGGACACCTTGGTAAACTCTGCTCTCCTAAGCCATATTAGAATTTCCCTGGAGCTGAAATATGGCTTGAGTTTTTGAGGTTCTACTGGTGTACTTGTTGGCTTGAATGCAAGCTTATAATGAAGTCTCTGGACTTTGCCAGAAATAACCCAGAGGTTCCAGTCTAACACCCCCAAGAGAACCAACCGAGGCTGGGACTCTGGTCCCTACAGGGGATCAAGCTCATGTTCTGCATCATAAAGAAAGCTTTACCACTTACAAACTGGCAGGAGACACACAGGAGTGAAGGTGGGGGACCAGTTTGTGGCAAAATAACTCTGAGTGACTCTCTCCAAATTCCTTAGATTCTCAAACCTGGAAAAGAGAAATCAAATCATATTCCAAGATCCTCAGCTCAGCCCACCCCCATTCAGCCCCCACTTCACAGGAACCAGTGCAAAGGGAGAGGGCCAGAGCCAGGGTCCCTTTTAGTTCCTCTACAGCAGACCTTTGAAGAGGGGCAGGGAGTCAACTGCAAAGAAATCTGACTAACTCACAGGTGAGACCATCTAGAGAGCTGGAGCTTCTGCAAGATGCTTTGCTAGCTCAGATTTCTTTATTGAGTGGCAAATTCATGATTCATGGCATCAGGAGAGTTTTGTGCCACATGCTCCCCAGAATTCTGTGCTCATGTGAATAGAGCCAGTTCCTAACTCTCAGTGCTGAATTCCAGGAGCACAGCCCACAAACACTATAAGGTGACTCAGGGTCAATGTCAGAAAGAAACGTCTTCCTTCAGATGGGAAACAGGATGTATAGTGGATGTTGGCAAGTTCTTTTCAGGTTCTACCACTCCTAGCCACAGTCCAGAGATTGCTTTCTCTCCACTGAAAAGGGTGCCTTTGACCATCAGAGTCTAAACAAAGAGCAAGAACCTTGCCACTGCAGCACGGAGAAAGACTCCTTGAGATCCATTTCCTAATTGCTATGAGATTTACGACTTTTCTTCTAGTTGAGGTGCTGGCAATAGAATTAGAGGAAGCATGCTGGGACCTCTGCACCCTCTGATGTGTTTTCTACCTCATTAAATCGGCTCACTGTCTTCAGCCCATCAGGGTGGCGTGAAATCCAAGAGCCCATGAGGTCCCTGGACTTGGCAGACTACAGGGCACTTGGGTGGCACTTGGATCCATTTATCAGTCCCCTCATGGGAGGATCATCCTAAAGTCAGCCAATCGTTGCCTTCTAAGGGCCCAAGGCCATTGCTTGATGACCTGGCATCCAGAGTGAAGTTTTTTAAGTAGTCCAGAAGTTAAACTTGCTGTGTTGAATGTAGAGGGAGGAAAATTGTATCTGTGTGGGAAACTGTTGTTGAAAATATGAGGGGACTTCAAAAAGTTGGTGGAAAATTGAATTAAAAGATAATGGACATTTCCCATGGCCTTTTAAAGCCCCTTCATGGAATGGTATGAAAGACAGGCTCCAAGTGTAGTGCAGCAGCCAGCTGTGCAGACTCCAGGTGCTGCTCAGGCTCCCAGGAGAGACAGCTCACAGAGACATTGTGCAGGCTTCAGGCAGGTGCCAAAGGAGAATTAGCCACAAGGCAGGAGGACCTGGGCAAGCCCTGTTGGTGCTCAGGACAGAGAAAATGTTGCCTTGCTATGGATTCTCAAGAGGAAGTAGAGAGAGGCAGTAACAAATTCATCTGCTTCATTTGGTCCTTTTCCCCAACCATCCCAAGCCGGAGCCAAAATCATGAACAATGGCTCTGAATGGATTGGATAAAGTTAGGACTCATTGTCCAGCAGTGTTGGCTGAGTGCAGCTTTGTCCCCCCTTGGCCTGGCAGATGGTCGGTGACTTACTGAGCTGAGGCAGTACCTGGGACAGACAGACAGCAAGCAGTGCTCTGTGTCTGCTGTACCAGGTCTTTTCCTCAATCAGATGGGAGATAGAAAGGAGTGAAGGATGAAGGGGAGAGGGTGTCCCTGACCAATCACTGCTTCTTTAAGTTAATAGGTGGCCTGTCGTCCAGGTGGCACAGTGGTTAAATGCTCAGCTGCTAAGCCAAAGGTCAGCAGTTTGAACCCACCAGCCACTCAGCAGGAGAAAGATGTGGCAGTCTGCTTCCATATAGACTGACGGTCTTAGAAAGATTTACAGCCTTGGCAACCCCATGAGGTGGTTCTACTCTGTTCTACAGTTCTACTCTATGCCATGAATCAAAATCAACTCAATAGTAATGGGGTTGGTTTTAGGTCCAAAAGATGGAGATACCTTTGCCTAGGAACAGCACAGTTGGGTGGGTACTGTCCCTGCCTGTGTACAGTATAGTTTGGAACTGTAAACACTGCTGTGCAAGGGCTGAAGACAGGAACACTAGAGTCAAAGAGATCTGGATTCCTGGTTCTCATTCATCCTTAACATATAGTCCTAGGCAAGTAAATAAACTCTCCTGTAAACACGTTACTGTGGTTGTTAGGTGCCGTCGAGTCAGTTCCAACTCACTGTGACCCTATGCACAATAGAGCGAAACACTTCCCAGTCCTATGCCATCCTCACAATTGTTGTTACACTTAAGCTCATTGCTGATGCCACTGTGCCAACCCATTTTGTTAGGAATCTTCCTCTTTTTTGCTGACCCTTTGCTTTACAAGCATGATGTTCTTCTCCAGGGACTGGTCCCTCCTGATACCATGTCTGAAGTATGAGAGACAAAGTCTCGTTATCCTGACTTCTAAAGAATACTCTGGCTGTATTTCTTTCAACACCGATTTGTTTGTTCTTCTGGTAGCCCATGGTACTTTGAATATTCTCCAACACCATAACTCAAATGCATCAGTTCCTCTAGGGTTGTGTAACTTTCACATGCATTTGAGGCTATTGAAAATAGCATGGCTTGGATCAGGCATACTTTACTTCTCAAAGTAACATCTTTGCTCTTAAACACTTTGAAGAGATCTTATGCTGTAGATTTGCATAATGCAATATGTCATTTGATTTTCTGACTGCTGCTTCCTTGAGTGTTGATTGTGGATCCAAGCAAATGAAGTCTTGGACATCTCCCATCTTGTCTCCATTTATACGGTGGTGTGCTGTGTAATTGGTTCCAACTCATAGAGACCCTGTATAGGGTTTCTGAGGCTGTAAATCTTTATGGGAACAGGGCTGGTAGTTTTGAACAGCTGACCTTGAGGTCAGCAGTCCGACTCATAACCACTACACTACCAAAGCTCTTCTCCATGTACATGGGTGTTATTTATTGATCCGGTTGTGAGGATTTTTGTTTTCTTTACACTGGAGTATACCCATACTGAAGTCTGTGATCTTTGATCTTCATCAGAAGTATTTTAAGTCTTCTTCACTTTCAGCAAGCAAGATTATATCATCTGCATACTGCAGGTTGTCCATAAGTCTTCCTCCAATCCTGATATCGCATTCTCCTTCATATATAACCCAGCTTCTCATATTATTTGCTTAGCATACAGATTGAATGAATACAGTGAAAGAATACAGCCCTGGCACACACCTGAATGGTTTAAAACCAGCTAAGCTGTGCTCCAGGGCTGTAAAAATGGGAAAAGCAAAAGTTGCTCCAGCCTTATTGGCTTAGGTTATATATGTAAACATTTGGGAAAATGCCTGTCACAGGGTATCATTCCAAATTCAAAGTGAAGCAGACATAGGGGACATGTTGAGTGCGTCTCAAGCCATACTTAACTATATGAGGCAGCTTCAAAGAATCCATGGAAAAATTCCATTATCTTTTTTTTTTCTTAAGTTTTTATTG